TTGCTAAATGTTCTGTAATTTATTAGTCAGTATATAATACAGCATGTGGTGTGTGCCATGCCTCATCTTAGTTGTTCTTACCGATTTATTGTTGTTGTGCTTTTTAATTAAGAATAACAATGAATCCATCTTTTGTTTTAGTCTTAAAAAAATTAAAGGCGTGTAGATTTATGCAAGCAAAACAGTGACAACAAGATCGCGAATTCGAAAGTGAAAGCATCCGAAGCCCGCGGCTTAACACAGCAAAAGAGTAACTCCCATCCACTTTCGTTTCCATATAACTACAAACTATGATAAAAGTTCATCAGCATGCATTGAATAATTCCATGTTATAAAGCAATAAAAAAAAAATAAAAAAAATATTGCGACCAAATCATGTGCTTGTGCGACCAGCTGAGAAAGTTATTTGCAAAAGAGTGACCAGTGGGAAGAATGAGTCTGGAGCCCTGTATAGGCTATACAGTGCATGAAAAGCTAACTGGTGCTCTTCTGTTTCTTTTGGTGTATGACTCCCCCTTGTCTCGTATAAAAAAAGCACAATAATCAAATAGGTTAGATCAAATAATCGCGATTAGACAGTTATTTCATTATCGCGACAGGCCTAGAGACTATTACGTTGTTTTTCTGGTTGCCAAAAGGTGAAAAATGTTCAAATTTGGGTAAAGGCTGTGACATACCAAGACTAATGTCAGGCTGTCGTTGAGCAAGAGACCAGTTTTTGTGGTGTGTTCTGCTTTAGTCTCTACAGTATGTTTAAGTGCAACTTTTTGGCCCGGATGCAGGAGACACAGTTGACTTCATCACTGCTATTTCTTTGATGTTGTTTTGGTTTCACAGGTTTAAAAAGAAGCACTCGCCACTGTCCCACTCCTCTTCCACTCTGATTGGATGGCTATCAAAGGTGATAAACACCACACCAACCAACCATCACTTGTACAACAACTAAATAACAATTGTAATGTTAATATTACTTGTCTCTGAATATGAATATGTAATATTTTCTCCATGTCTGTACTAGATGACATCGGCGGACTACCACAATATTAATATGAAAAACAATGTTTGGAGGAACATTTCGATCACCATGGGTCTACTAGGTAGGCAGCTACGAAGTGCTCAAGCATCCCCAGTTTTCAGAAGATCGCCTGCCATTTTCAGCTGGCTAAAATGCTTTGGTGGACACATGGCCTAAGGTAGACAGGATGTCCCTGTGTGGAAGTACAGTACATACCTGCAGCCTGAGCCTCTCCGCCGAGAGAGATAGATCCCACAATGGCAGGGTAGAGGATTAGGTGGGGCGAATCTTGGGCCACTCTACACAGCAGGCTGCAGATGCTCTGGCGGATGTAAGCCTCAGGGTGATTTAGTCTGGAGAATAACTGAGGGATGATACCTAGAGAGAAAACAGACATATTAATATTACACGGACTGAGATAACTAACTACATGTAAAGAGGAAGGTGTTCATTACTGCATTGATGTTCAAGTTCTTACCTCTCCAGGGTGCAGTGGGAGTGGATGCCAGGCCGTGCTCCAGACCCTCTCTTAACTCCCCAGCGTGCTTCACAAGCAAGCGCAGCAGACGGAGGGTTGCCATGACAATGACATCATCACTGCTCTGTTTGCTGCTCTGGTTGTTCAAGAGCAGCTTGGGGTCGTCTTCATCTATGGGCACCTGATGATCAAGACACCAAAAAATTTGATCGATTTCTTTTAGAAATTTGTCCAGTCACTGAGTAAACAGAGGAGGAATCCTCTGACCTGCCCAGCGTTGAGTCTGAGGAAGGTGAAGTACGCTCTGCAGGAGACCCGGTACAGGCTGAAGATTCGGTCAACCACTCTCCTCCACACCACAATCAGCCCATCGGTCACAGTGTCCTCCACCTCAGACAGCCATGGACAGGCACTCAACAGCTGTCGGCCGATCACATCCACCATGTCGTCCTCCTCATCCTCTTCATTCTGCAAGGCCATGTCCTCATCCTGTATGAACACAATGACACATGAATACACAAAACAAGAACTATTCGCATCCTTCATTTCAGATAAATGAACATCAGCATTAAACTTAAGGCAGAAATCTACAAGTTTAAAGTGGCAGTAAAAAACATACTGTTCCAAAAGTTTTCTATTTTAAACTTTTCATTTGTTAAAGAATCCTGAATAAATGTATCACGGTTTCCACAAAATTATAAAAACGGTATTGAACACTGATAAAATGTTTGCGCGCCAAATCAACGTACTAGAATGATTTCTGAAGGATCATGTGACACAGAAGACTGGAGCAACTAATTAATAATGACTTAAAAATATATTAAAATAGAAAACAATCATATTTAAATCGTAACATTTCCCAGTATTACTGTTTTTACAGTATTTTTAATAAAAAAAAACAACAACCCCAAACGTTTGAACAGTAGCATATTTAAATGAAATGTCTATGTTTTCTAGTATTATATTTCCATTGTTCCCTAGTGTGTAGTGTACCACAGTATGAAAACCACTGATCTAAACTCATTTATACAAACTGTGAACTCCATAACCTGAATTCCTGCTGGGCGACACATGGCTTGACCCAAAATGCCAAAAATGGTTTCCTTGTCCTCATCACTGGTGCCTGCTGGGAGCAAGTCCTCAATTTCTTTCTTCTCTCCAAGGAGTAAAGGAACCCCTTCTCCTTGACTATCAACACACAGAATGAAAGAGAAAAAAAAAAAAAAAAAAAAAAAAGTAAGTATAAGAACATCATCAGAGTAAACAGTTCTGCTACTACACACCTGATGTAGTTAAAGTCTGTTTTGAGGTTGACACTGGAACTGCTGCTGTTCTTTTTGAGGTTCATCATGCTGGCCTGCCACTCCTGCATGGACTCCCAGTCGCTCAGGGCCACATAACGCCTACAGGCCTTATTAGCCAGGAAGTTGAGCACTTCTGGAGAACACTCACTGGACTTCAACAACACAGTTTTCCTTCCATCTCCTATTAAAACAGTAATGACAGACACAATAAGAACCAAGACAACTTTTGCAAAAAAAAACAAACCCCCTGCAGATCAAGGGACAATAACCCCTGAAATCATTAAAGGCTAGGGATGGGAATCCTTTGGAATCTCAAAATTTGATTAGATTTTTCAGATCACGATTCAATATGGTAAAACTACTTGGTACAAAAATACACTTCTGGAGGTTTTTGTTTGGCATCTTTCATTTCTGAAGGATAGTGACTAGTGATTTATTTCTAACTTTATTAGATGTATGCATCATCTTTTTTTTATCCATTCATACATGTACACAAATTCAATCTGAATAATGAGACAAGCCATTACCAATAAATTGAAATCAGTATCAACAAAAAACATCTTTGCACTCCAGAGGTGGAACAGAAGCTGCATTCACAGGCTTTTTAATGCAGCTCAGATGTGAAAAATTTACCTACATGGCAACCGCATAAATAATACTATGAGATTAAATGTTTAAAAAATAAAAATAATATTGAAATATAAAATGAAACTAACTGGCACTCATGACATATGAAACTAGAACTGCCAATAGGTGGTGACGTTCTTTTCGTTCATTTGTCCAAAATGGCTGATTAATTCAGAAACAAAGCAAGTCACTACAGTCTTTAAGAATGAGTAATTGAATCGTTCACTCATATGGTTCAGTCAAAAACTAATTCATTCAGTAATGAAACATCACCGTCTGTTGCGCAGTGGATCAATTCGAATCAGTAGAAGAATCGAATCAGTAGAAATCTAGAATCAGATTTTCACCTCTCCCCCTTTCAAGATTATCCTCAAGTTTTTTTCTCATGTGAGACATTTAGTGCAAATTTTGTAAATCCTCACCACTGCTGGTGTGTTTTGGGCTGGAGGTGTTGGAGCCAGTGAGTTTTAACAGAGAGTGATCAAAGCCTTTAATGGAGCAGTCCATCCCTGTGACAGCACACAGCTGCTCTTGGTACTCTAATGCTGCCTTCTCAAACCTGGGGAAAAATGCAACATCAACATTTCATGAGACCAGAGCGTCTAGACAAATTTGCATGGTGTAAACTAGGTAAATTATTTTCAGAACACAAAACACTTACTTTCCCTCTGCCTGCAGTGCCACTGATCCCAGCCAGCCCAGGCTCTTGCCAGTGCTGGCCAGACTCCAGGCTGCCAGACCTTGTATGGCTTCAGGGCATCGCAGCTCACACAACGCCTCCACCAGCATAGTGACTGGCACCTCCATTTCTGGCCCCTACAGGGCAAAGCACAGAGCAAAAACAATGAACTAAGGCTTTTGGATATATAAGCCCAAAGAGTGTAGAGCCAGTGCCTTACAATAACTGACATCTCAAAAAGGAGCAATGTTGAGAAGTTAATGGTGTGATAGTAAGTCTTTTACATATTTCAGTCATTGTGAATTTGCAAAATTTTAAATGCACTGCATAAAATTTAATGTGTGAATGACAATGAAACATTTAGAATTTACCTTAAGATTGTATTATCGTTTAATGCATATTTTCACAAAAATTATTCGCTGGAGCCTATTTTGAACAACACTGCTTCAAGGGATAGTTCACCTAAAAATGAAAATTCTGTCTTTAATTACTCACCCTCATGTCGATCCAAACACGCAAGACCTTTGTTCATTTTCAGAACACAAATTTAGATATTTTTTATGAAATCAGAGAACTTTCTGACCCTGCATAGACATCAAGTGAACTACTACGTTCAAAGCACAGAAACGTTGCAAGGACATCGTTAAAATAGTCCATGTGACATCAGTGGTTAAACTGTAATGTTATGAAGCTACGAGAATAATTTATGTGCACAAGCAAAACAAAAATAACGACTTTACTCAATTCTTCTTCCTTGTCAAGGTCTGCAGCCATATGTTCACGAGCTTAACACGACGTGTGCATGTGCATTCCTATGCTTGTAAACAAGGCGCAGTGCATGTGTGTTCTATGTCAGCAGCACCACACGCATACGTGTCGTGGTACTCTTGTGAATAGCGGCGAACAGGGAAGAGAAGAATTGTTGAATAAAGTCGTTATTTTTGTTTTCTTTGCACACAAATATTATTCTCATAGCTTCATAACATTACTGTTGAACCACTGATGTCACATGGACTATCTTAACGATGTCCTTACTACGTTTCTGGGCCTTGAACATGTCAGTTGTGTTGCCGTCTATGCAGGGTCAGAAAGCTCTCGGATTTCATAAAAAATATCTAATTTGTGTTCCGAAGATGAACGAAGGTCTTATGGGTTTAAAACGACATGAGGGTGAGTAATTAATGGCAGAATTTCATTTTTGAGTGAACTATTTCTTTCAAGTCTTACCTGTGCACTGCTGTTCTTTATCTCAGTGAGCAGGTCAAAGCCATGACGGACCGTGACTGCCGGCTGACCTGAGAGAAGGCCCACTCTCATCAGTGCCAAACGAATTCTGGTTAGCCAGTCCTGGCACGTCTGTCTGTTTGTGTAGAAAAATGTTCTGATGCCCTAAATACAGGAGTAAAAAGACTTAAAAACTAAAGCTAAAGATGAAAACATGGAATGTCAATAATAACCCCATTAATAGTCATTGGAAGGATAAAGCTAGCACTTCATGGTGTTAACGTGAAGGTTAGTTGTGTATATACGGAGGACAGACCTTTGGTGGTGCAGTGAGAGCGCTAGCGCAGCCTTCATAAGCATTGTACATGAGTTTCTCCAGGTTTTCTAGGAACTGTAGAAGCAGAGCTAGGCGGAGCTGATTGGTGTGGTGACCCTCATCACTTTCTCCTCCACTCCACTGACTCAACTCCTGCTCTGTGTTCAGACTGTGAGCCGCCAGGCTGCGGATCATACCTTCACCAGCACAGGGATAAAATATTGATTCATAAAGGCATGACACAACACCGCTCAAAAGTTTGGGGTCAGTAAGTTGTGAAATTAATAATTGTATTCAGCAAGGGTGCAATCAATTTATTAAAGTTCCCAAAAGCAACTATGGTTGCAAGTTCCATCATATTTGCGACCATAGCTGGCCAATGATGCTTTTGGGAAACGCAGCCCAGCAGTCTTAAAAATGTTTTCACAAGTGTCTAGTAGTGCTGGGCAGGATTCTGACAGTTTCACGGTTTATCGCGGTTTTTCCCTGAATGTGCCTTTATACGAATCGGAATGCAGTTTCAGAACCAATGCATTTTAATCATGATCCAAACAAACATGCTACATATAGCATGAGCAATTTTTGATGTAAATTAGATTGTATAATTTCAAAATTTGAAGCAAAAACAGAACAGTCTGAGCACAGCTTTGTGAAATTATTCAACATAAAACAGATCAGAACGAAACAAAAACAGCAGACGGGCTGAATGAAACAAATTCACTCTTTGACAGCAGGTGGCGCTTAAGGAACAGCAGCGATTGAGCATTTTGTTGGTTACCAATGTAAACAAAGCAGTGGTGCGCTTTTAAATACTACATAAATATGCAATGTATATGGAGGTAAGATGAAAAGAAAATACCATTTAAACCATCTAAAGAAAATCCCTTTTTCTGAAGACATCCCCTCAGAGATGTATTCACATAAACCCCACCCTCAAAAGTTCTCCAACCATTAGTCAGAAATGTATGCAGTTAACAGGGATCCCCCACTCAATTCACGACGCTGTCCAGGTTTTGTAGCCACTTGTACGGCATAAAAAAAATAAAATAAAAAATGTATACATTGCGTGTAATTCAAACCGGATTACCGTTTGAACCGGTATATTGGTGCCCAGCACTAGAATGTAGAATGACAAATGAAAATCATACAGATTTTGAATGACAAAGGTGAATGAATAGTGTCAAAACCTCAATTAGGCTAATTATTCCTTTAATAAATCTTGGAATTTTTTTAAGATGAGTTCCTAATTCCTAAAGGGATAACTCACTAACCCTCTATGGTCTGGAATGTATCCTGGGCTCGTCCTAGAGGGGTCCGGAGTTTAGAGAGAACGGTGAACTGAGCGGCCTCCCACACCGCCCACTGCCACAGCACTGCCTCAGTCTTCAGCAGGGCACGAGGCACCATGGCAGAGTCTTTCTTCTCCAGCCGCTGACAGCTGTGGTACAGCCGCTCCAACCAGGGCTCCTTACTGCGTATGAAACAATGAATATCTAATAAATAATACCAAATATAACAATTCCCAGCACACACACAAACTGCTTTTATTTTAGCTGCAGATCTCTCTACAGTACAGAGTTTGATCAATTACACTAGCAAATATAAAATATATTTAAAAGAACAAACATCTGTCCATGTGTTCTCACCAAGGTGAGAAGAGGAAATAAACCTACTCACCCCCCACGGTGGACCGTTCCATATAGAATAAACCCAATGAGGTCAGAGAAGTCCTGTGGGTGGAATGTGTTGCTAGGCACTTTGCTCATGTGTCGGCGGATGGCCAGAGAAATCTCCTTAATCTCAGAGTGACTATGGGCACTGCTGGTAGACAAGCCGACAATTACCATCACATCAACTACAGCTGGAGGTAAAACTACAAGGTAGGTATTATTTCTCCCCCTCATATCTATTGTGTGAATTCAAGACAGATGAAAAGGAGTCTTACGAACCTCAATGCAACGTGCATGGGAATGGATCTCAGCAATTTCCCAAAGGCCTGCCGGACTCGGACTGCTGAGTGGACTAGCTGAACTCGGCACACATCCACACACCTGCACAGAGAAAGGGGACAGAATCAGTGCTGATCAAACAAGATGTTTTTTTTTTACCTCCGCCCCCAAAAGGAGGAGGAAGAGTTGCAGCACTAATGAATGTGCCTACAGGAAGACAGTGTCTAACAAGCAGAGGATGTGTGATTACCTCTGGAGAAGCTCTGTGGTCAAGGAAGATGACAGAACCTGTAGACTGTTACATGCCTGCAGACATATGGTGGGGTCTTCATTCAAGGCTGCATAGAGGAAAACCAACATGTTAAAAGTCCATTCACTTAGTCACCAGTTTATTATCCTAACCCATTATTTGTTAAAACCCCTATTGATCTGGAGAATGATTCTGTTTATAACATTGTTTCACCTTTGAGAACTCAAAATGCAGAATTAACAACAGGGATATTAACTCACAATTTGCCAGTAACCCCTTGCAGAATCTGAGGAAGGATGGGAGTGAAAAAAGAGGGGAGTAGGTTTTAGATCTCTTCATCATCAAAGAGACCTCTAATGACCAGGTGAGTAACAGCCGCCTAAAAAACGTTGTTAAAAAAAGACAATAAAATGTTATTGTTTTATATTAATCAAGGGGAATTACAAAGGGTGGGGGCTGAGACATACTGAAAATCTGTGATTAAAAATGTAATTTAACTTTTAAGTAAAGTTTTAGGATATATATATTGTGTAAAACTAGAAATAAGCTAAATTACATTTTTAATTACGCAAGAAATCCCAAATAAGAACAAATTTTCCAATTCATGTAAAGGTTCTCAGTTAAACTTTTACTTGAAATTATTATGGCTTTGAATTTGAATATTGAAAACACTTCTGTTTAGCATTTTTGGACCCCACTGTATACTCACTAATTTCCTAAAATTCTAAACTAAATGCTGAACTGTTGCCATATGCATACAAGTAAGGAATTAAAAAGAAAGGTGTAATCACACTCATCAATGTATAAGTGATTATAGCAGCTGAAAGAGCAAGTGGTTCAGATTAATTTATCACAACAGGCCTCATTATAGACAGGCAGTATGAGCTCTGTACCTCGCCTCAGGGTTGAGATGATCCTTGCTGAGCAGCATACCCAGCAAATTAAGGAGCGTGCTGAAATGCCTTTTGGTTGCCGTGGTAACTGTGCTGATGACAGCATCGTCGAAAAGGGATGGAGACGAAGAGCTCAGGCTGCTTGAGATAAAGTGATCATGTCTTGGGAGAAATAAAGAGAGAAAAGCAGCAGTCTATCAGTTTCACGCCTGGAGTGAGTGAGGCTAAAATCAAGTGAATGACAGTGTTTTTTGACTGTTTTATGTACACTGAAAAAAAAAACAGCAAAAGAAAATGATAAAACCATATAGCACTACATAATTCATGAAACCACACTGCTACTTGCTACACACTTCAGTGTTGTTCTGCATTTAATTTCTCACACTTTTTGTCCAATACATTTGTGATTTTAATTAAATGATTTAAATAATTTAAATTCAGACAAATTTACTAGTAATAAATCAGTTGTCTTATGCTCACCAAAGTTGCATTTATTTGATAAAAAATACAGTAAATAAATATTGTGAAATAATACTACAATTTTTGAAACATTTTATTTTTTTTACATTTTATTTCAATATAATATATTTTTCTATTGTAAGGCAATTTGAAATTGTCACATAATCCTTCAGAAATTATTCTGATATGATTTGGTGCTCAAGAAGTGTTTCTTATTACCAATGTCAAACAGATTTTCTGCTTATATTTGTGGAAACAGTGCTACATTTTTTATTAGGATTCTTTGATGAACAGAAACGTCAAAAGTACAGAATTTCTTTGAAATAGAAAATTTGTAACATTACTGACCAATTTAATGCATCCTTGCTGAATACTAGTGTTCATTTATTTTTTAAAATCTTACTGACCCCAAGAAGATTCAGTGTACAATTATGCTTCTTTAAAAAACGGAAACCCTGTGCATTTTTGAAGAATCCTCATCTAGACAAGTAAATGTTGCATTGTTACCTGGTGCAGTGAGAGTAGAGTGTGTAGAGCACTGCATACTGGACGGCAGGGTGATGAACTGCTAAATCAGAGTGAACTACAACCAGATTCTGACTCAGCAGGGCAAACACAGTAGGGGACAAAGCCCACATCTGTAACAGAAAAGATGTGTTATTACGACATGCACAAAATTAATACCATATGAGCAGGGTAGGGCTATGTCTATGGTAACAAATTAAACTGTAAAACGACTGTAAAAAGCGTGATTTACAGTTCAGATACAGGTTAACAAAGTTTTTCACATTTCAGCCTTTAAACCATTTCTAAGAAAATGGATCAAAATATCAATTATTATATTAACTTAATTATTATCAATCAAATATTATATTAATTAAATAATACAGCAGACAGGCATATTGAAAATAAAAATTCATTCTCTGCCAGCAGGTGGCACTTTTGGAAAGGCAGAAATACAGCAGTTTCCCAGGTAACGGCTGTACACAAAGAAAGCAGCTCTCATGTTTAGCCTTTTGAAGTTTAATCATCACATTAAACCATATCGCAATTATGATCTTAAATTTGACAACTAAAATGTAAGACTTAAGGACACGCGGAAACCCTGTTTTACACATTTTCCTGTATGACTCAAAAAAAACAAACAAACAAAAAAAAAACACGCTTTCACAGAACTAGGTATGACTTCATGCTGACCCCGATAAGGGAGTTCTTGGTGTTGCCAATGGTGGTGAGAGCACTGAGGTTGAAGATAAGGATAAACTCTGCTCTCTCTGGGCTGAACTGCAGCTGGCTGAAGGCAGGATGTTGTATGTTAGGACAGGCAGCAGGCAAACCCAGAGGGCTCAGCAAACTGTTCAGCGCACAGCCCATCTCGCCCAAGACCAGTTTATAAGCTGCCTCCAGTGTAGGGATGTTCTTTAGGCTCAGCACAGCATGATACACTCCATGTGCGGCTGCCATCACCTGTAACAAACAAAAATGCGTTAACTCATAGCTGTTGTGTGTGTTGAATTTATAACAACTGAGGTTAATGATTGTACCTTTATTTCTCTGTGAAAGCGCATCTCCAAGAGATGAGAATTTGGGGCCAGCAACTTCTCCACAAAGGCAGCCGGGATTTTGGTGTTTATCTGATCAACAATCTACAATAAAAAAAAAATGACAAAGTGTGAAAAAGATTTTCAATCAAAACATAATAGTAACAAGGCCAAAGTGTGACCAGTCATTTACGTAAATCCCTTAAATTGTACTCCAGTCTGTCATTTATTGGATTAATTAAGTCAAGTCCTACCAGAGTAAGCAGGGTGAGGACTGACATGCTGTATTCTGGTCCGCAGCACTGACAGCTGTCCAGCTGGTCTAGGCCATAAGAGATTACAGCATCAATCTGCAGCTGGCTGGCCAAGTCCATGCTCACCAGTAGGACACACACACACTCATTTCCTGCTGTCAGCACTGCCTCCGAGAAGAACACCTGCTTGGCTGTGGTGACACAGGCCAAAACACGATTCAAAACCTGTGAGTTAGAAAATGCAAACAATTTATGTCAGATCAGTAAAGGACTGCGTGTGTATTCACAACTTGTTCAAAAGTGTTTGTCGATCTATAAATGATATCAGTTTATCTTAGATTATCTATTTGTATTGCAGTAACACAGATAATTGAAGCAGAGGCCATGCGTGTTGGAAACTAACATCAGTGACGTATGCTTCTGTGATTGGAGGCCCTCTGATAGGGTTGAACCGTTCTCCGATGCTGTGCACAACAGTGCTAAAAACTCTCAACAGGGCTGCCAGTTTTGGCAGGGATACCGTGGGAGGGGGAATGTCCTCATCTCCTGATTCCCCAGATACAACAGGACTCAAATCCTATAAAGGAAAGAGTATTAGAACCTCAGAAATCTCATAATTAAGGGACAATGAGAAACCAATTGAAAACAATTCATGTTACCTCAGCATACGCCTCCATATCTTCCAAAAATTGACCCAATAATGTAGTTGAAAAGCTTAAATCTGCCACCCAAAACTGCTCCAGACTCTGTAACCAGCCTAGAAAGATAGATTAGGGTTAGACAGAGACAGGTTAGACAGGTTATTTCCCAAAAAAACTAAATATAAAACAAATCTTACCAGACACTTGTCGAGTAAGAGACTGTTTCTGTGTGTGGTCTATATGCCAACCTACTAAGATATCCACTGTGTCCTGTAAAACGAAAACAGCAGTTCATTTACAAATTCTTTCCTTTCAGACATCCAGATTTAAAATTTAAGACTGCTTGTGCCGCTTACTCTGAAATTGGTGCTGAATATGTGTGGATAACAACGGGCCACCAGCAAAATACATTTCACACTTTGGCACAACAGCTCTGGCGTGTCCAAGTTCTCCAATATAGACTGAAGGCTGCTCATCACCAACTGACAAAACAGTAAAACATTTCAGCCACAGAAAAAGATTATACAGAATGGTAATCCAAGATTTAGCAATGGAACTGAATAAATACCTGCATTACAGTCGAAAAAGCCTTCTTCTCCCCTGCTGTTTCAAGTGCCTTGTGCACTGCCACCAGGTACAGATGCTTCACCTCATCCTTTGTGGACACACTGAACTTGAGGAACATCCACTTAAAGATCCTCTCAGCTTCATAACTGAGGGTGGCACAGAGCAATCCCAGGCAGCACGCGGCCTCCTGCCTAAGCTCCTGCAGAAGCTTACTACTGTAAGGCCAAACAGAAACCCACAGAACCGTGTGATCAGGTATCGCATGGGATTATTTTGCAATAATGACCAGCTGACTGTACACTATCCTGCTTAATTTAAGGCTCAACGCTAAAGATTTTTTCTACTGGCCCGATTGGGACAGTGGTTAAATTTTTTTACTTGCCCAGTCAGAAAAATTTATTAATTAATTGTTGTTGTTATCATTGCTTTTGACCCATGTTATCTTGTATTCTAATAAAAAAGCTTATGTGACACCAAAATTTTAGATACCAGTTACATTTTACAATTCTCCATTCTAATTTCAATACCACAGCAAAAACTAGCCTAACAAATATAAAGTTCAAACATTATTAAAGACAAGTGAACAGTCAGTGAATAAGAGCAAATGAACAAATTACAAGCAATAGCACAAATAAGTAAATAGAACAATGATACAAATTAAAGATGCTTTAGATTTGTAGATGTTCAAGTACAGAAATTGAATAATCTTAATTTTAAGATTTAATCTGAATTGAATACTTAAATGTAAAATAACATTGCATATTATTCACTGTATAAATTAAATATATAGATTAATCAGTGTTAAGCTTAATTAAACTTAGCCTTACAATGATCCCCGTGTGCACATCCATTAAAGGGATAGTTCACCCAAAAATGAAAATCACCCCATGATTTACTCACCCTCAAGCTATCCAAGGTGTATATGACATTCTTCTTTCAGACGAATACAATCGGAGTTACATTAAATAATATCCAGGCTAATCTATGCTTTATAATGGGAGTGGATGGTAGCCCAAAATTTGAAGTCCAAAAAATTGCACCCATCCATCATAAAATAGTACACCACACGGCTCCGGGAGGTTAATAAAGGCCTTCTGAAGCGAAGTGATGTGTTTGTGTAAGAAAAATAACCATATTTAAAACTTTATAAACTGTAATCTCTAGCTTCTGCTAAACTGGGACACAACTCTCTCGTGAACGCGCATACGACAGTCGATTTATGATGAATGGGTGCAATTTTTTGGACTTCAAATTTTGGGCTACCATCCACTTCCATTATAAAGCATAGATTAGCCTGGATATTATTTAATGTAACTCCGATTGTATTTGTCTGAAAGTGAAAGTCATATACACCTAGGATGGCTTGAGGGTGAGTAGATCATGGGGTAATTTTCATTTTTGGGTGAACTATCCCTTTAAGACTAGAGGTCAACCAATAGTGGATTTTACCGATACCGATAGCTAGGTTGGACCACACTGGCCGATACTGATTAATCAAACGATAGTTTTTAAAATGGATACTGAACGAAAACTAAAATAGTGCTTTACTATTAATAAATAAATAAATAAAAGTACTGAACCATACTTCGTAAATGAATAAATATTAATATTAAACAATTATATATTGATCATTAAAGTTAGTTCACAGTTTGTTAACTAATGTTTACAGAAGCAACTTCAAAATTTAAAAATGTATTAGTAGACATTGAAATTAACACTAACTAGATGGTCATCTTTAAATATCTACACAAATGCGATAGCATTGAAATTACTTGCATATGGATATTGTATGTATACTCTCACACTTTAATTGCTTCTATTCTAGAACACATTAGGGCTGTGCGATTAATCGAAATCGTCATAAAATTGAGATTTTTGAGATTTGATTTCTAAATCGCTTTATAGCCACGATTTTCCGCGCCCCCGACCTCCCGCAGTATGCTATCCGAAACAATCAGAATGCAGTGCGCCTAAATGGAGCACGAGAACAGAACAGACCGGGCGGGCATACAAACGTAACGCCAGGTTCACACACTCCGTTTGTGGTGCGTATTTTTTCCGAGCCCATGTTAACGGATCAGAGCGTTCACACTGCACGCGGTCCGGCAGTGTGTTCCAGGATTGGTGCGTCTGCAGCAGTCATGCTGCGATCATTTCCGCACGGAGTCTATTTCTGCTGTGCTGCATGCGCTGAAAGTGACAGCGCATTATTCGCGGTAAAAAATAACATGGATTGGCACGGAAATTTAGTAATTACACCATAAATGCATATAATTAAAGTCTACTGTTTCACAGTCAACACATGGCTTTTTGGCTAGATTTAAAACAAGGAAAAGTGCACTTTTAGATAAACAAGGCAATAATAGATGGCACTCGTGGTGGTAGTTAAACAAAGTTATATTTATTGAGTTTAAACGTGAATATGTCTATGAAAGATTGTATTACTGTACTGTGATAAAAGAGAATCACAATGCTGAAAAAGCATTTTCAGAAACAACATTTGGATTTGAAATCAAAATAATGGATAAATGTTGTGTTTGTGGTAAACAGCCGCGGATCAGGAGCGGACTGCAAACGCGTCCTCTGCGAAAGCAAAATGAGTCCGTGCTGCTTCTACACCGCATACACATACTGTATACGCACTGCAGACAGAGTACGTGTGAACTTGGCACAACAAATCTAGTTCAACATCTGAGGCAACGCCACAAAGAGCTCTCCTATGACCAATGCATCTTTTTTCTGCCATATGTCTATTCTAGAGACATTTTGTTACACCTTTACTTAGTGATTATTTTGCCTTATGTCTGTTCTAGAGACATGTTACAGCTTTTTGATAAAGCTCTAATTGGTTTTCTTTTGGAAATATGTTTCAAATTCACACTGAATGCATTTATGACTGTAAAGCATGTCTCTGTGTGTCAAAACCGTGATTAAAATCGAAATCGCAAAATTTATCAAAGAAATAGCGATAGTTTTTTTTTGTCCATATCGCACAGCCCTAGAACACATGACGATTTTCTAATCAAAATGACAAAATATGGCAGTCGCACACTGGGCAAAAAGCATAGCGCTGCATCTAGTACTCACAGGTATCAGATATCACACATACCGGACACATCACGTTCCGTTCAAGCGGTGGTCTAAAACAGTTAAACCAGTATTTAATCATCAAACAGGCAAAAGTTCACTTCAAGAAAGATCAAAAAAGTGGCATTGATGAGTTGGAAGTTCGGTGTTTAAAAAAACAGAGCAAAATGGAAAGAAAAAGTGAGATCTATATTAGGGCTGCCACTAACGACTATTTTTATTTCAATTAATCTATCGACTAATTTATCGATTAATCTAAACGATTAATTTCCCACAAAAAATCAATAATTTTACTTAAGAATATTTTATTAAACTATATTTTATTAAACCAAATGAAATCCAAATTTCTATGAAATCCTTTTTTAAAGAAAAATTAAAGTGCAACAGTTCAAAGTTCAGCATTATAGTTTAAGAATGACAACATATCCACGTGTTCTGGTCTACTAATAATAAAATTATAATCAAAAAATACTTTTTAAAGGATTATTTACCAGAAATGTTATTTATTTGGGAGAAAAATGTAAATGTGCAGTATTTCTGAAAAAAATAAAGATTTTTTTTTTTTTGTATAAAATCAATTAATTGGAGATGCTTTTGATTATTAAAATTTAATGGAACCATTAAAATGGAATCCAGAAAATAATGGAAAACAGAATTTGGTAAAGATAAAACTGTAAAACAATTAATTAGACAAGCTTTTTGATGAATACAATTTAATTTAACCATTGAAATAGAGTATAGAAAAATGAAAATGGAAAAACACTGAATTTGGAAATAAAACGGATTTCATAGGTCCCTATAATTATAATACTTTTTTTGTGATAATAAAAATAGATGTAAGTGAACAATAGCCTTTAAAATGACTTAAATTACATATATAATAGCAATGAGGCAATAATAATTAGTTCAAATAAATTATCAAAAGCAAGAAATCATAATTTTATTGAACAAAACTGTTAAAATACATAATGTATTATAAACAATAGAGCTAATGTACTGTAATTAAAAGAATATGTGGACGTGTAAACTCAGAGTGAGGGTTTGAGCTTTTATTCTGAAACCACGATGTATTCTCCTGAGTTTGCGTAGATTTATAAATTATTTACCTTACAAATCTGATGAAATGGCGCACGTTGCATTCCCAGATGAACGTTATATTAAATCCAAACTCACAACAACATGCAGAGATGGAGTTTGAGACACTCCACACACGTAAATGATAACAGTTCCTGTGGAACTACTGTGAACGGAGCCGCTGTGTGACGCACGTACTTAACCTACACGCATGTAAATAATTAAAACGCATATACTGTATTAGAACTGTATCGCATATAATTATTTAGCTAATTAAATCATAATTGTGAATTCACAAACGCTACGCTTAATTATGATTTTTAAATGGGTTTAATATATCATGCAGCCTTGGGAAACAGTCTAATAATGTGTTTTATGGATTCTCATCCGTGAAATGCGCCACTTCCGGTATTTTGCCGGTTAGTCGACGCGAGCAAAATTAATTTGAGGATTTTTAAAAATCGAAAAGTCGAATAAAATCGACGAATCGCGACAGCCCTAATCTATATTATAGCTCTCCATACTTGCGTGTGTTTTGGTCACATTGTTTTTACCATTTGAGGTGCTAATGTTCACGTCCTCTCAGTCTTGAGAACAAACATACTGCTGTTGTGTAGTCATTAATGCAGCATCTAGTCAACAAATTGATTACTTAGCAATGATATGAAAACGTGTACACACTTGTCTGCTTTGAGCATCAGTGATTTCACCTCTAGAGGCCACTCTCATGCTGTATAATGGCAGGACTCCATCAACATATGTAACCCCAAAAAACAATCGGCATGCATTTTTGCCGATAGCCAATAATTCCAGCAATCAACTATCATTGCCGATTAATCGGCAAAACCGATACATTGGTCGACCTCTAATTAAGACTGTAGGGTGTCTCAATAATTATTTTAGGTTTCAGAGGTGTGCTTGGGAGCGCCCCCTTTGCGACCACTATGCACCCTCGATGCGCACAACTGCAGAGCCCAAACTGAGCGGAGCCCAAATTTTGACCTGAAAATTATTACATGGCATTATGTCACAAAAGTGTGGACCTGGAGGAAGACCGCAAAGGCTTAGGGTGCCATTTGGGACAGGGCCTATGTATTATTGCAATATCTATAGAAATTTAGAAAAAGCCATATTCAATTTCATATTTAACTTTGCTTATTGTGGGTTTTCTCTTCTTTTGGCCAATGAATCACACTCAAAATACAAGAATAGGGAGACAGAAAGATTTTGTAATCATAACTGTACAAAAGCATATAAAAAGAACATGCTGTTGATTGGCACTTCCTGTGGAGTGGGGTGTCTAACACCCAGTCCCTTTAATGTACTTCCAAAAATTCCCAGATTGGAAGGCTAACTTATCTCAGGTATGGCAAAATGTAATAATGGCCGGTTAAATTGTTTATGAGTAGGATTCAGCGAGGTATTCATAACACTTCGTGAACAGTGACGTGCTAAATATACCCTCAATGGAGTGAATTCTGATAACTCCCCATTGTGTTAAAAATAAGCTGTGCAGTCATACCTCTCGTTCAAAATGTCATTCAGGGTGCTCAAAATGGAATCCAACTGTTTCACTAGGACCTGTAATGTATGAATACAAACAATACAGATTAAAAACAGTTTAACTCTAGAGACACATAAAAATCCATTTGTGCATGTCAGACCGTACCACTTTATTTTCAGAGTGCACAATGAACTCCCTCATTTGTTTCATAGTGGCCAGTCTGCGTTCCCGGTCATCTTCCCGTGATGCTCGCCGCAGAAGATTGGCCAGACGAGACTCCTCAGAGTGAGCCAACGGTCGGTCTGGGATATAAAAAAGAAAGTGATGCTAGTAAATAAATGAATGCAACAGCCCCACTTAAGCTCCAAGGTAATTCAATCCAAACAAGCAACATATGAGCACTGAAAGGTGAATGCACCCTGTGATTTCCTCATGTCCTTTGCAGCTAAAGCACGGTTTCCATGCTGAAAAGTGGTTATATCAGTAGTCACATCATTGGTTCTCAACTCTTGCCCCAGCGACTTCCGACCATGAGTATTTTCAGAGAGGCCTCCATCAGCATCATATCCACCTAGAAAGCAAGAACACCGTCAGTTCCTTCCCTAAAGGAATAACATTTGTAAATCTGAAATTCATGAAAAAACACCACACAAGACATTAAAAAGCATAAATTACATGTTAGAACATTGTACCACCAAAGTAGGTACTATGCTTTATAAAGCAGGGCAAAAATAAATTTACATGGTATAATCTAGGTAGGTGATATAACCAAAATCTTATTTCACAATATATACAGCACTATTATTTTAGTTATTTTATAAAAATAAAAAAATAAATAAAAATAAAAGCCCTTGCTGACGTTACTTTCTCTTTCTATTTCTATAAACAGAAACCTTAACCAGGGTGACACACAAGAGAGGAATCAAACAATTATCCAACCCTCAGATACCGGACCAGCAGAAAGACACATGCTATTGATGTTGAAAACCACAGTAATGAAGGTGAAAAACACTTGCGGATATAATCCAGCTGATTAAAGCCAGGCTAAACAAAGGGCCACATGGAGCACACACCTCCTTCTTCGAGTACATCTGCAGCAGTGAAGGCATCATTGTGCAGTGGTGGGGTGCCAGGCTGGTCAGAGGGCAGAATGTCGAAAAGAACTTCTGAACCGCGGTCTCTAGAGACACTGCTCTTCACACCGTCCTGGCTGGCTGACAGACTGTCGCCTCTAAAAAACATTCAATATACCATCAGTGACTACACCAACTTGACTGCCCATGATCACGTTGAAGTCAGCATGCTAAAGCTTAACAAGATGTGACCACTTATTGTGCAACTGGAGAAAAATGGGCTGGTCTTTACTCATTCATTACATCATATGTATAAAATACCACAATTTGTTTACACATCCTTTCAAAAGTCATGATCAGTAAGATTTTGTAAATGTTTTTGAAAGAAGTCACTTCTGCTCAGCAAGGCTACATTTATTTGATCAAAAATACAGTAAAAACAATAAGATTGTGAAATAACTAACATTTAAAATATATTTTTTAATTTGAATAAATTTTAAAATGTAATTACTGTGTGGCAAAGCTGAATTTTCAGCAGCCAGTCTTCAGTGTCACATGATGATTCAGAAATAAATCTAATACGCAGACTTGAAAAAAAAAAAAAAAAAAAAAAAAAAAAAAAACTTTATCATGTCTTCCCTGCCACTTTTGATCAATTTAATGCATTTTGGTAAAAAGTATTTAAAAAAAATCTTACTGACCTCAAACTTTCGAAGGATAGTATACATATCCATTGCTCATGTACAAAAGGAACATTTACAGTAGAACACATTGTTACTGAACAAATGCAAATGTTTAGTTAGATCTATACAAACTTTAATTGTTGCCAGTGGAATAAATCAACAGGTATCTGCCAAATTATGTTTACCCAAAAACTGACACTATCATTTACTCACCACCATGTCATGCCAAATCTATAAGCTTTTCTTCTATGGAACACCAAATGATAAATTGGATCAGTCCACTTTGAAACTGGATCATTCAGACCAATGAAGTGAATCAGTGAATTCACTGATAAGATCAATGAACTCAGATATCAATGAAATCAAACGATTTTTTCCCCTCAATTTGGAACCTGACATCAATTATCATTAACTTTCATTATGTTGGAAAAATGTGGCTACTTATTTTTCAAAAATTTATATTTTGTGTTCCAATGAAAAAATAAAGTCATACAAGTTTGGAACATGATGTGAACTGACTGAATGAGATGACTTAAACTTGCTTTTTTTTGTGTGAACTATAACTTTAATAATCCAACATTCTGAATTCCATTTCCAACATTTCATAGAAATATAAGGTTGATTATTTATATCACCTGCCAAACATTTAATTGCAAACTTTCCTAACGAGTCAGAAAGTACTCGCAACAGAACTCACAATTTGAACCATTAATTCGATAAAGACGCACAATTCATGAATCTTCCCTGGCTATTCATAAAATTGCATCTGCATCCGGGACTTAATGTGACAGTCCAGCTGAGATTTCATTTTTCCACATGGTTTCAAATAATGAAACTCATCTGAAAACTGTGAATGGTCATCCTAAATAAATACATCAAGTATTAAAAGTTACTGATTGGACATAATTAGCAGGCAAGTTGAAGATTGAATTCAAACAATTAACCAGTTTTCACGCTTGAAGTTCAATGTACTCGTTGCCAATTCCTAAGCTTTCCAGACAAACACAGGCACACTCGGTTGACTTTGACATTCAGTCCATGCTTCAGCTGGCTTCTCCGGTTTAAACTATAAAAATGTCAAAATTAAAGCGGTTTAAAACTACAAATAAACGTTTAAGGTTAGAAATGAGGAATCCGCTTCCCAGTCAGGGGTAAACGTAACAACGAAAATAGTGTTCGTTAGCAAACTGACACGAGCGTCGCGATTTATGTGAGCTTCACTGGAGGAGTTAAAAAATGCATTAAATCAGTATGAGACGAATATTATCCAGTATGTCTGCAGTATACACACTACAACATAAATCGACTTACTAACGTCAGTGCAAATGTTAAAATACTAACCTTATATAGCTTGTGGCTAAACGTGTCAGACCACACGCGTTTCTCCACAAACCACAAATGAACGCCACGACACTCTGAATACATCCGCGTGTCCGTCAAAACACACAAATCCCTGCTGTTTCACTCACATTTTTGCTCAGTCTACAAACCAAGGCTAGCGAACAAACACAAACATGATAATTATCGCCAGTATACGCCGACTGTTCGTGCGTTAGCTTATGCTAACATCTGCTAACCAACCTGAAAAAATGAACAAGAGCGTTTGACATCTGTCGGGTTAACTGTGCGGCGTTGTTATTCCCACAGACTAGAGCTCAGCGACATTATCGTGCGATGTGGTGTGAGATGAATGCTTAGAAAAGTCTCCTCACGTGGAGATAGACCGTTGCCGCGTTTCATAAAGATGGGGACGAGAGCAAGGCCTCGCTGAAGCCTCGGTCTGCAGTGCGAGTTCTCGGCCGCGTGGTGCGCTACTGACCTGGGCTGCCAGTCATTCCAGTTTCGCTGCAGTTTGTGGGCGCTGCTCAGCCGAGACCCGAGGGCTTTGCGGCTCATTACCTTCGCGAAGACAGCATGACCCGTCTAACACGGGAAGAGTTCGCAAACAAACCCTAATTTTACCGTTCAGTTAATGTCCATGCACAGGGTTGAAATGCACTGTGTGTTTGAAACTGAGAGGCAGCGGCCTGACCCTCCCATCTATTTCTCTACTCTTGACTCTTTCCGTCACCGCGGTTCACACGGCGGCTTCTCCATCTGTCGGTGGATAGAAATAACTGCAGCTCTATTGTTATTAGTGCAAATCCCGAAGCAAATACATTTCCCATGGTGCCTACACGCACAATGGCAGAAACGTGGACTTACTTAAAATAACTCCAAGGTTGTTCGTTCACTTGAAGCTTAGCAAGTGAAGTGGCACGTGTAGGTTAAGCAGGAAAAAGTAAGTATTTGAATGTGTGATTTCACCTAAACTTCACTTGAGCAGAAATTAGAAATATCTGTTGAGGTAGCCCGATTCACTGTGTGGTTGCCTTGTGACAACAAGATGTGTATGAAATGGAGAAAAGGGAAGAAGAGCTTCAACCACAGAGAAAAGAAAACCAGCATTTCAGTGCCGTTTAACTAAACCCATCTTGTTAAAGTTTCCCATTCACCATTAGATTCAGGGAGGCACATTATGTTTGGTTTTATATTTGGTACATTGTTATTGGTAGGTATGCTCACAACACAATTTCTCCAATTCGTGTTGATATTACTATTATTATTATTATTTGTTGATTCTTGAAACCCCTTTTCGCTTTTGACTCCTTATAATTAAGGATATTAAGGATATTAAGTCTTGTTTTCTGATTGATCAAAATCAAGTGAGTTTAAGCTTAAATCGAGAAAAATATATATTTGGGGTAAGCAAAATAAACTTGTTTACCATTTGAATTAAATTTATTTTATTTTGTTTTTGTTTCTTGTTTTGAGCATAAACTCGCTTATTTATTTTTATTATTATTATTATTTTCCAGAAATCACACATTGCTTTATTACACCACAAGATGGCAGCAAGGAGCTAAAGCAGAATTCATCAGCCCAATATTTGTTTTCTCCTACTTTTCTGTCATGTCTTGCAGTAATATCCAATAAAACTCAAGCCATTGCACTTGTTCCAGTAATTAGAAAGATATGGTCCACTGAAAACTCCACATTCTCTTTCACAAAGCCTTGCTGTGATATCACTCTTTTTGTGGCACCCTTGCCCACCTCAATACATGGTTCTGAAGTTGCTAAGCAACAATGTGCACAATAAACACTGTAGCAGTACACAGAGATGACAGCTGGTGACTTAAGGAGATTATCTGGCTCACAGTGTGTTATTGCACCCTTTGAGTTAACTATGACTGTTAATTAAGTCTATAACTCGCTTATTTATTTTTATTATTATTATTATTATTATTTTCCAGAAATCACACATTGCTTTATTACACCACAAGACGGCAGCAAGGAGCTAAAGCAGAATTCATCAGCCCAATATTTGTTTTCTCCTACTTTTCTGTCATGTCTTGCAGTAATATCCAATAAAACTCAAGCCATTGCACTTGTTCCAGTAATTAGAAAGATATGGTCCACTGAAAACTCCACATTCTCTTTCACAAAGCCTTGCTGTGATATCACTCTTTTTGTGGCACCCTTGCCCACCTCAATACATGGTTCTGAAGTTGCTAAGCAACAATGTGCACAATAAACACTGTAGCAGTACACAGAGATGACAGCTGGTGACTTAAGGAGATTATCTGGCTCACAGTGTGTTATTGCACCCTTTGAGTTAACTATGACTGTTAATTAAGTCTATAACTATATTGCAAACCATTATTGGCCACATTTTTGTGTTTTGTGGGGGAAAAAAATCCCTAAGCACAGCAAAAAGCATTTCCAATTTCATGGAAATTGCTCATTGGAGGTCAGCAGAGCTCTCAGCTCTCATAATTAACAATATGTACAGCTGTTCGATTGTCCTGCAACAGGAAGTGCTGAATGTCACAGCTGTTGCTAATGGTGCACCACCATCTGCACTACACCTGAGGGATTACAAGCAATGTAGGAAAATGTAAGAAAAGATAACCAGAGACATTTTATTTCTGGAATGAATCACCCCTTTTCAATGTAAAATGTACAACAAGAACATAATTTTGTGAATTCTACCAATAAAACGGGGTGCTACGTGTCATCACATGCCTGCACATCAGCTAGCTTTGAACGGACTCAAAATCAATACCAGACTCAAAAAGGATATTTTTAGCTAGCTCCTCAAACAGGTCATGGGTACTCCCAATGATGGAAATGTCTGAACTACATTCTCATTGTTGGCTTGGTCAAAAGTTTGGTGATCCAGGGAATTAATTTAGGAATGTGGTTTTATAAAGACGGTTTTGAAGAACCCTAATGCCAGTCATGTGGCCACATACACATTGTACAGTTTCAGGAGTGACAATCGTATTTAAATACGAGAGTGAATCCCCTAAATTATCGCTTTGTGTGTGTACGGAAGAATTACAGCAACCAAAGACTTATGTTTGGCGTTCTTAACTAAGCCACCGTTATTTATGATTAGACAGCTGCTTCTCAGAGTGCATGCGCTCTCAAAGTGTTGTCATGTCTGCTTATTATTAAGCGTCTTTGGGCTTGTTGTTTGGGTTTGTAGAATTCAGTTCGGTTGTAGAATGTGGTTGTCACTTGAAATGGGTGTGTACAGAACCGGACTAAAAGGTGAATTGACAACCGAATTTTGGTGCAGTGTGTACATGGCCACTATACAGTGAAATAGGCATGTAATTGAAAGCTTGAAAAGTTCTTTAAAGATATATCCTTCTTGTCTGTTTTGCATGTTAGATATTATTTGTCTAAACCTGGTAGGATGCAGCAACAGGACATACCAAACGACTCATTTTAGAGACCATATTTAGCTTCAGTCTCATCTGGAAATCTTAAATGGAGGCCTTCTTCAGTATAAGAATGAGTCATATCTCCACGCTCTTGCCCTTAGCTGTTATAGACTGCAGCCCTCACAAAGATAAGAGGAATTCCGGGCCTTTAATAGCATGGGCTCTGTCGGCCATGAGATAAAGCAGACATGCTATCAAATGCAAGACAGTGTCAGGGGAGACTAATGGAACTAATGGCGCTTTTCCACTGCGTGGTACGACTCGGCTCGGCACGGTTCGGCTCGGTTTGCGTTTCCACTGCAGTTTAGTATCGCTTTAGAGTGGGCGGGATTATTCACATGTCATTATAGTTGCGCCGCCTCTACTGCCGTGACTCCTAAAAAACTTTTTCATTCCGCGTCGCCCCATCAAGCTCTCACTGGATCCGCTCCTCTGCTATCAACAAGAGCAACGTCTGTACTTCCTCAACAGGGGGAACAGCCACTTTTTGGTTGTTAAAAAAAGGTTGGCTCGTTCAAAACAGTTGCATTCGATCCTTCGCTGGCTGTGCTGATTTAAGTCTAGCGGTTCTTTTGTGTTTGTGTCGCAAGTTCAGTGACGCAGGTAGTGACGATTCTCTCCGGCCAATCCGTGATCAGCAGAGTTTACACGTCACGTTTTGGTAACGGTACGGTTCGCTTGGAACCCCAACCGAAGTGGTACTAAAAAAAGTACCAGGTACCAGGTACTGTACCCAGTGGAAAACCCCCCAAAAGTGAACCGTACCGAGCCGTACCGTGCCGTACCATGCAGTGGAAAAGCGCCATAAGCAAGTAGTGTGAATTGGGTGTTCAATAATTCTGCAGGCAAGCCGGATGTCATGATATTTCCAACAAATTATTACAAGATGAAATGTTTCCATTGATTTGAAGGTAAACCATTTGACTAGTGGTTATTTTCTTACTTTATTCTAGAGGCAAACATGTTGGTATTTCTGAAGCATTTATCTTTACTCATTCCAGGTTGCTGAGGTTAATGAGGACTCACAGGTCAGTTGTGTTTGATGTTTCTGCAACGATATGAATTAGATGCTGTTGTGGGATTACAAATTTAAGAATCTGTTTTAAATATGCTGATCCTATGTTCTGACATAGCATCACATGAAAAACTAAGGTGAAGTACATTGTATTTAGCATTTAAGGTAAATTACAACAGACAAATGATTATCTTAAGCAAAGTGTAGCAAAAGGTTCCTGTCTGTTCCTGTTCTCCTATTGTTAGTAAAATGAACCAGATTACTGAGACGATCACCTTTTGTTTGTAATGGCTCTTGGTGCCTCTGTCCCAGTCTTTGAGTAGTTATGCTGATTGGAATAGTACTGTCAGACTGATTGGATTAGCACCTATGCATTTGAATGACACTGTTATGCTGATGAGATCAGGGATGGAGAAATTCCGGTAACGGGCTGATTCCTGTATTGCATTTGCATGCTTTGTTTAGATTGTCTCCACCTCTATGTATCCCTCCCCCTTGAAAGGTATAAACTCTACTGTGCTGAGCTATAGTCAGACTTGGATGACTGCAGCGGCGCTCGAGTCCTCAATAAAGAGTGACTTATGTATGAAACATATCCCAACGTCTCCTGGTCTCTGCTTCGACGAGGAAAAAGTTTCCAACACTGTCCATCTGGTTATGTAAAAACCATGTCAAATTTAAAATTGCATAAGTTCATAGGAATTAAATATACTCCAACAAACATAATACTGACTTAGAACACCAGTAAATATAATTGCCTTGGCTTGCCTTATTGATTTTAATTAACAAATTAAGTTATATTTTGGTAAATGAAATTAAATCTGAAATAAAATCAGTAATTTTGAATATTAAAATAACTTAATTTTTACATTAGACACCATCAACAACAGATATGAATTTGTAGTTCTTTCTAATATTTTAAGAACAAAATTGTTAGATAAGGTGTTTGGACATAATTTTTTTTTTGCCATTTGTGATATGAATATATGATATTTACCAAGGCTGCATTCATTTGTAAAAAAAAAAAAAAAACAGTAAATGTTTTCTATTTTAATATATTTTCAAATGTAATTTATTCCTGTGATGGCAAAGCTGAATTTTCAGCAGCATTTACTCCAATCTTTATGATCCTTCAGAAATCATTCATATTGATTTGGTGCTATAGAAAGTTCCAAAAAAAAAAAAAAAAGCATTTATTTGAAACAGACATTTTTATAACATTATAAATGTCTTTAGTGTCACTTTTGATTTATTCAATGCATCCTT